TTCCCCCTCTTTCCCCCCATCCCCCTTACCCCCCATTCCTCTCTCCCAGGTCTGGCCGTACCTGAGGGTTCGGAGAGCGCTGTACCGGCTGCCGATCCTGGGGGCGTCCAATGCGCGCTTCTACCATCTGCGCTTCCAGTGCGCTGTGAGGGGCGACTACCACGACTTCAAGCCTCCGTTCAGGGGACCCATCATCCCCATGACCCAGGTGGGTGATGTGGTATGGTGTGCGGTGCAGTGCGGTGCTGCTTGCTTGCCGGCCTGCCAATGCGCGCTTCTACCATCTGCGCTTCCAGTGCGCTGTGCGGGGCGACTACCACGACTTCAAGCCGCCCTTCCAAGGACCCATCATCCCAATGACTCAGGTGGGTGCTGTGCGGTGCGGTGCGGTGCTGGTTGCATGGGTGCTTGCCTTCTTGGAAGCATGCCTTCCTCTCTCCTCCCTGCCTTCCCCTCACATCTTGCCTCCATCACCCTGGGTCTCCTCCCCCCTGCAGATCGGCAGTGACGGCGGGTACCTCGCTCGTCCCCTGCGCATGCGCAACGTGCTCGTGGCGCCGGGGGAGCGGCTCGACATGCTAGTGGATTTCAACGAGGCACCCTCCTGGTGCCGCGATGTGCTGCTCACAAACGATGCCCGCGCGCCCTTCCCTGCTGGTGAGTTGATTCAAGCACCCTCTGTGTTGGTTTCACAGAGAGGCGGTCAGTACATGCACCCTCGCAGCACTTGCTGCTGGTTTCATTCCCGCATCCGTCTGGTGCCGTGGCTATGACGTGCTGCTGATCCATCGACCAATCGCATGTAGTGAGTTGTGCTTTGAGTCGACTCAAAACACTGCTGGTTTCATTCGCGCATCCGCCTGGTGCCAATGTGCGGTGCTGGCCACGACGTGCTGCTGATCCAATCATGCGCGTTCACCTTACCCTGCTTGCAATTCCTCCTCACCAAGAGGTAGACCATTCTTCGGGAGGCACCTCATCATAAGGTTTAAATCTTCTATTTGTTCCGTTCCAACCCCCCCTCCCCACAAACCCCCCCCAACCGCCCGCGTGCAGGCGAGCGGGTGAGTCCCGACACGGCTGTCATCATGCGCTTCATTCTCACCAAGGGCAAAGCCATTCCTGCACCGCCCCTCCCCAAGCTGATTGCTGTAAGTGCGCTGTATGAAGGGCAGAGGAGGGCAAATGGGGGTGATGTTTTGAGATGACTAAGAACTCACCAGGAAAGGAAAGGCCCACCCGGCACCGCCCCTCCTTAATATGATCGCTGTGAGTGCATCGAGGGAGCAGGAGAGGGGTAGGGGAGGGCAGGAGGGGGTGTCATTTCAGTATTTTCATCCTCTTTTTCGGTTGAACCAAAACAACTGCCCATTTTTCTCCTTGCTACTCCCCACCGACCTTTATTTCCCTCTCCCTTCCCCCATCCCTTCCCCCCCATCCCCCAGCCCCCGACGCCCTTGCCTTAGAATCAGAGGCCCAAGACGCGCTGGCACGTGCTGGGGGGGGGAGGGTGGACCCAGACAGCAAAGCACCTTTCCTTCCCGATAATCATTCCCCCTTGTTTCCCCCTCCCTTCTGGCCCTTTGCTCCCCCTCAGCCGCTAGCCGGCCTGGCTTTCAGCCAGGTCTCGAGATCGGAGAGGGTCAACCCGGACAGTGACACGCTCACCGCCAATCCCTTCGCCATTACTTCTCCTTACTGCTCCTTACTCCTCTGTACCCCCCTCTACTCCTCTCCACCCCCCACCCCTCAGCCGGTAGCCGGCCTGCCCTTCAAACAGGTGAACAAATCGCGCTGGCACGTGCTGGGGGAGAGAGAGGACAGACCCGGACAGTGTGACCTCTTCCCGACCATCGTTCCCCCTTATTTCCCCTCCCTTCTGACCCCTTTCCCCTCCCTCCAGCCGATAGCGCCCCTGAACTTCAAACAGGTGACCAAATCGCGCTGGCACGTGCTGGGAGAGAGGACAGACCCGGACACAGACATGCCCACCGTCATCCAGCTAGACGGGAAGGGGTTCTTCGATCCTGCCACTGAGATCCTCAAGAACGTGAGTGATGCAAGGTTGCAGGTGTGTTGGGTTCTGGAGCCCACCTCACACGATCTGCCAGGGTGGCATGGAGTATAGAGTCATCTGGCTGGGGGAGAGGACAGACCCGGACACAGACATGCCCATGGTCATTCAGCTTGACGGGCGGGGTCTCTTCGATCCTGCCACTGAGATTCTCAAGAATGTGAGTGAATCTGTTATCATGGGGAGAGGGTTGGTACTGAGAATCACTGGAGTGTTGCCTAATCTGCAATAGGGTAGACCCGGACAGTGCCATGCCCATGGTTATCCAGCTTGACGGGAAGGGGCTCTTTGATCCTGCCACTGAGATCCTCAAGAATGTAAGTGATGCAAGGGTGCAGCCTGCAGGTGAGCAGCGGTGCAATGAGTAATGTGCCATGCCCCCAGTCTTCCAGCTGAACGGAAGGGGGTACCTGGCTGGAGCCTGCCACAGAGATTCTCAAGAATGTAAAAGGCTCGCATTCTCTTGATCCAAGTTCCAACCCCTTCATGTGTTAGTATCCGCATTAGATGCTTCACTTTTTGAGATGCCTCAAAACTAGCGTCTGTGATACATGCTTCACATTTTCACTGCATCCAACTCCCACACCCTCTCACCTCTCTGTGCTGTGCATGCAAGCAGGGAACAGTGGAGGTGTGGCACATCAGTAACCCATCAGCCGACACGCACCCCATCCACCTGCACCTAACTATCCCTCACTCCCTTCCCCATTTCCTCATCTCTCCACTCCCATGCAAGCAGGGAGCAGTAGAGGTGTGGCACATCATCAACCCATCAGCCGACTCACACCCCATCCACCTGCACCCGCTGCAGCACCGCCCCTTCATAGCACCCTGCCCTCACTCTCACTCCCTCCCTTCCCTCTCCCCTCTGTGTACTGTGCAAGCAGGGAACAGTGGAGGTGTGGTACATCATCAATCCATGAGCCGACTCACACCCCATCCACCTGCATCTCCTGCAGCACCGCCCCTTCATACCTCCTTGCCCTCACTCCCACACCCTCTCCCCTCTGTGTGTTGTGCATGCAAGCAGGGAGCAGTAGAGGTGTGGCACATCATCAACCCATCGGCCGACTCACACCCCATTCACCTGCACCTGCTGCAGCACCGCCCCTTCGCCCGCCGCCCCTTCAACTCCCAAGCCTTCCTCTCAGACGACTGTGCCTTCTACCCCTACCCGGGCTACCCCTCCTCCCTCTCCGCCACTGCCTCTGCCTCCTCACTCGCCACTTCCTCCTCTCCTGCGGGCAGCATCACTAGGAGCAGCATCATTGGCACCAGCAGCGGCGCCAGCAGCAGCGGTGGCAGCGGCGGCATTATCAGCAGGGACGGTGGCACGGGGAGCAGCGGGGAGGACAAGCTGCCGTCGTGCTTCACGGGGCGGTCAAGGAAGGTGGATTTGAATGAACAGGGGTGGAAGGACACCACCAAGTCCCACCCGGGGGAGGTGCTATCCATCCTCGTGGCTGTGCGCTCTCAGGTGCGTATGGCCATTCAATGGTGCGAAATTTGAGGCGCCTCAACAGTCAACTCTTCAGGGGGCGGGTGAGGAGGGTGGATCCGAATGAGAGAGGGTGGATCCGAATGAGAGAGGGTGGATCCGAATGAGAGAGGGTGGAAGGACACTACCAAGTCCCACCTGGGGGAGGTGCTATCCATCCTCGAGGCCGTGCGCTCACTGGTGCGTGTATCCCAAGGTTCCCCAAGCATAGCCGATAGACTCAGTGCTCACAACCGGGGAGGTGCCATCCATCCTCGTGGCCGTCCGCTCACAGGTGTGTAATGGCACCATCACGCTCCATCACCTTCTCCCCCCTTCACTTCCCTCGTCCCCTCTCTCCCTTACCCCCTCCTCCTTCTCCCCCCCCCCCCCCCCCACACATCATCCTTCCCTCCCATGGCTGGAAGGGAAGCCGTTTCATTCGAACCGTGTGGCGCTGCCTTTTGGGTCGACTCAAAAGTCACAGGGCCTGGGGTACGTGTGGCGCTGCCACATCCGGGAGCACTCTCCTCACGAGCAGCAAAAATAGCACTCCCCCACCCCCTCTTCCATCTTTGCCACCCTTAATCCCCCCTCCCTCTAAGGTTGACCCGTTGGTGGGCCCGGGGTATGTGTGGCACTGCCACATCCCGGAGCATGAGGATAACGACATGATGCCCCCTCCCCCACTCCTTTCCCCTTCCTCCCCCTCCTTTCCCCTTCCCCACCATATGGCAGGACGGCAAGCCATTCAACTTTGACCCGTCACAGGGCCCAGGGTACGTGTGGCACTGCCACATCCTGGAGCATGAGGACAACGACATGATGCGCCCGCTGCTCGTGCGCAAGTGACGTGGCCCCAGCTGAGGTGGCGCCAGCTGTCTCGTGCGCACGTGAGAGATCTGTCAGCTGTCTTATAGTGCGCAAATGAGGGGGCACCAGCTGTCTTATAGTGCGCAAATGAGGGGGTACCAGCTGTCTTGTAGAGCGCAAATGAGGGGGCACCTGCTGTCTTGTGCATGAGGGGGCGCCATACTTTGGGTTTGCTAGTTGGTCTTAATGTGGTTGCCAGATCGGCAACCCAACTAGCTGGGCTGTAGTTACAATTTAGGTAAAGTATTCTAGCAATGGTGCTAATTTGGAAATGTATCTGATATATAAGAGGCAATAAAGTTGATTATCACCAGAAGCTTTTCAAGGAGATCAAATAAAGCAATAAGCTCTTTGCAGTCACATTACATAGTTTCTAAGAACGGTTACTGTAGAACAAAATGAACGGCAATATTCTCGCTTACTGCTGGCGCTGAACTCCGATACTTCTTCACGCAACAAATACGATGTTCAGCGAAATGCAGATTTCCACCTTCACATCGCCGCCTTTCGTCCTCCCTTACCACATGCGCCTTCACTCGCGCTGTCCGTAGAAGGAATAAGTAGAGGTGCTCCGAATTAGTACGGGCGGTTCCCCTCGATGTTGCCGGGCGGGAAGTAACGGCACGCCCAAATGGCTCCCCCTTCGTTGCACATCGCTGTTCCGCACCCGACGCGCTCCGTCTTCTTCCACACCACCTGCGTGTAGTGCGTGCAATCCCTGCCCTCCGCGCACCCCGCGGGGAACGCTTCCAGGCGGTAGTGCGCCTTTTCACGCACCCACTCCGCCACCGTCGATTCCGCTTCCGCGGGCACCCCCCAGCTTTCCGCCGCCCAGCGCAAGTTGACCCCGCCGCTGATTTCCTTCATCCGCCGCACCGCGCATCCCTCCTTTTGCGCAAGGTACTCCGCCAGTCGCTCCGCCTGCGCCTGCAGCTCCGCGTCCCACACAAGCGCGGGGGAGCCGACTTCCGCGCGCGCGCGGTTCTGCGGGTCGAGGTAATGCGCGTGGTCGCGATCGTCGTTCCGGATTTCGGGAAACCTCACATAGAGCATGCGAGCTGTCGCATGCGGCGACGAAGATCCGACGGAAGATGTGACTGTAACGGGGCCTGACTGGGACGAAACGAGCTGCGCCGCGTCAGAGAGGAGTCGCCTGTTGGAGGCAACCGGCGGGACCGTGTCGGCCAGATGGTTTCCCGAAATTGCAGGCTCCGTAGTGGCCGCAGCCGTGGGCACAGCCGTGGCCGTTGCGTGAAGAAGAGCAGCGAGAAAGACGGTTACGGTGAGAGGTCGACGAAGGGAGAAGGCGAACTGCATTATTCGAGGTGCTTGCGAGGTGATCTTGACACCAGCCATGCGGTTCGATGGTATGGTTTAAATCTGAGAAGGGAGAAGGCAGAGAGCGGGAGTGGCGGCGGCCTGTGGCTGACTCAAGCTGATGTTTTTTAAAGTGTAAACGCGACGTGCGAATCTGTAAGGAAGAGCTTGTTGCGGGGTGCGTGGCGAGCTCTAGTTATTATTGTGACAGCGGAAGTGAATGACGGGAGGGTTGACTACGGTATGAGCGTGCGAAGTTTAGGGAGCGAAAACTGTAAGCCAATCCTGAGCAGGCCAATTTTTAGAGGGGGGGTTGGGTTGTCACAAAGCAGTAACTGCACCTCGCCACTCAAGGTTGGAGCGAAGCCCTGTACTACCAGGTTTTCAAGGGATAAACCAAGTCCTCCCGCAGGAAGTATGTAGGCGACAGCTTTAAGTGCCGAGTGATTGCCTGCTTAGGGAATGCCGATGTTTGGTGCACACAGACAATGCATGCAGATGTGCCCCCACCTTGCACTGCTCGCTTGCTTTCTACTAGCAGCGCTGCGCACTGCGCACCCCAGACGACGAGCAGGTGAGGCGGGGTGGTGTGCGGTGTGAGGGATCAGAGAAGGGAACGCGTTCGGATTTGGATTGAAATCTCAAGATGGCCGCGAACGGAGGGTGTGGATGGGATGGGGCGTGGGCTGGGGGCATGGAGGGAGGAGTTGAGCTTGGAGAGCAATGTGGGTATGTACTGTACAAGGCATGTGTAGTATTTAATGCCTAATATGCAATTAAGAATTTTCTACATACTTGGGGATATTTCTAGGCTCAACATACCGGTACATAATGTAGGACTGTAGGTTCCGGAGCAGAACCCTAATAACTGGAGCCTCTCCCACCCATAGAAAAAACGGCAACTGCTGCCGTACCATTCCTCAACCAGGGGCAATGTTACTAATAATATGCAGATTGACTCTTCTTGGTAGGAAGAGCAGTTTCTACCAGGCTCAGCCCAGCCCCATGCTCATAGATATAGCAGCATGGGGACTGACGATGGCGTTAATCATACCATGAATAACCCATCGGTCAAACATACTCTCAGCTGCACTCACTGCCCCCCTCCCCCATTCCCCCCCTGCCCTGCACCCCCTCTGTTTGCCTCCCCACCTGCCCCAAACACAAACCCCTCTGGAGGATTCCCCCCTGCGCCAGCCCCCATACCAGGGAAGGCGAATGGCAAGCCGCCACCTGGCATGCCAGGGATAGGCGGGAAGGGGACAGGGGCTAAAGGGGGCATGCCTGCAAACGGGGGAGCAGTAGCAGCATCAGCAGGATTGGTGTCAGGGCCTAGGGGAAAGGGCGGCATGGGGAATGGGAAGTTGGGGAGCGGTGGGAAGGAGGAGGGGGAGGCGGTGGTGTTGGCGGGAAACTGGCCGGGAGCAGAGAGAGGAGTGATGTGGCCTGACGGTGCCCCTGGCTGCTGAAGCTGCTGCTGCTGCTGTTGTTGCAGCTGTTGCTGTTGGTGCTGGTCGGAGGAATTGAGAGCAGCGTCGCCTCCAAAAAGGCGAGCCTCAAAGGCCTGCAGCTGGCTCAGCATGGCTGGGGAGTGGGAGGGGGGAAATTTGGGTCACTCGTGAGAATTCTCAAAGTTGATTCGGATAACTGCATAACTGCAGCTGGCTCAGCATAACTGGTGGAGGGCGAGACGAGAGACAGGGTTTAGGTTGGAAGGGATGGGACAGGAGTGTGAACACTTGTTGAGCAATAGCATGGGGGAGGGAAGGGAACATGAGGGACCACACATGCTGAGTAAACGGACAAACAGCTTTCTGAGTCGACTTAAAAAAACGGACATAACCGCCTGCTCTAAATGCTGCTGCATCGCCTACCTGGTCTGTACTGTAACAGCACTACACTCCACTGATGTGTAGTGAAGTCTATTTTTGAGTCGACTGAAAAATAGACTCACTGCCTGGTGTGTACTGTAACAGCACTACACTCCACTGATGTGTAGAAACGGGGCGAGTCGGTCATCATGTCATGAGATGCCACATGCCGGCATGCACTGCCTTATGTGAGGTACGGGCTGTTCATTCAACCCTGAATGCACCGTAGTGCCTCAAATGGTGCTGCTACATGCTGGCTGTATGGGCCTACCCGGCTGTATGTTGATTGACGGCCGTCTCTCGGTGACCCATGCAACTGCCTCTGCTAATTTGACCCCCTTGGCCCGCATCAGGTACCCCACCACCACTGCTGGCGACCTGCAGGCGAGGGGGGTGGAAGAGTAGGGAGGGGGACATGGTGGGGGGTGTGTTGTTCATTGCATGCGTCATCTTGACCCCCTTGGCCCGAATCAGGTACCCCACCACCACTGCTGGCGACCTGTAGCAACGGGGAGCGAGAGTGGGTGCGGGAAGTGGGAGGAGACAGGGCGAAGGATGAGAGTGGACGGGAGGAGATGGGAATGCATCATCTTGACCCCTTTGGCCCGCATCAGGTACCCCCCCACCACTGCTGGCGACCTGCAGGAGGGGCGATGGGAACGAAAACGGGAAAAGAAGGGGGTGGGGGAGGGGGGGGGTTGAGGGAGTAACAGAGTGTGTTACAGCATGCATCATCTTGACTCCCTTGGCCCGCATCAGGTACCCCCCCACCACTGCTGGCGACCGCAGGAGGGGCGATGAAAGCAAGAGAGGGAGGGAAGGGAGGGAGAGGTGAGCCTGCATCCTCACACATGCCTGTCTGCATCAGGCAAGCATCAGGTCTGCACAAAATCAGCATTACAATGACCAAAACGCAATGCAGGTGCGTGTTCTCCTTTGCCTCAAAACGCAGTGCACAAGCAGCTTCGCATTGCCTGGGTCACGACATGACTTTTGAGACGTCTCAAAGGTCTCATTGCCTGGGTCACGCTCAGGGTAACTCTCAGTGCGAACCTGGTGGATATAAGTTATAAGGACTAGAGATAAGGGCACACGAAGCTTCACCTGCTTTGGCCTGACATGCAGTGCACCAGCACCTTCGCCTGCTCCCGCTCACATTGCTCTGTTGCCAAGATTATTGGTTGAGGGGGGAAGGTAGGGTGGAAAGGGGAGCGAGAGGATGTGGAGGTTGAAGGGACGAGAAAACCGGGAATTGAGGACGGATCAAACAAGGGAATAATGCCACTGGGTGACGGGAGCGGGAGGGCTTATGAGGCGCCACAAAGGGGACGAAAAGGGGAGCTGGGGACAGAGGATTGAACAGAGGAGTGATGATGTTGGGTGATGCGGGAGGGGAAAAAAGCGGTAAGGCGAGGAGGGGCGCGGGAGGGACGATGCGAGGAGCTTGAGGGTGGACAGAATGACGGGAGGAGAGGAAGAATGGGTGTGTGTGCACGGCCTGAAGGAAGGACTGAATGATGAGGCGAAAGTGCGAAGGGGCAGTTGGCATGGGAGGTCATGATGGCATGGCATGGCATGGCATGGGAGGTCATAATGGCATGGCATGGCATGGCATGGCATGGGAGGTCATGATGGCATGGCATGGCATGGCACGGGAGGTCATGATGGCATGGCATGGCATGGCATGGGAGGACATGATGGCATGGCATGGCATGAGAGGTCATGATGGCATGGCATGGCATGGCATGGCGAGGAAAGCATGGCACGGGATGAAAGAATACCAATAAATTGGTTGCATTCCTCGAAGGGAATGACCTTGCTGTCTTGCACTGTGTGATAAACGAAGGAGTTCTTATAAAGGTTCTGACACGTGGGTACGGTCTGCAGGGAGTAGCAGTCATAGCACACAGTCACCAGCCACGGCACAAAATCAGGGCACACCACACGAGGAGGGGGGAGAGGAGGGGAGTGTGGATGAGAAGAGCGAAAGGAACAATAATGGACACGGTCAACATGCCGTGATGGCATTTTAAGACTGAAGTTGGAGGGATGAAAAAGGCAAAAAAGGGGATAAGTGCAATGCCAGTGCAAGGGACAGTGCAGATTTATTTCTCTTCTCCGCACCTCCTCCCCAATCCCCTACATTTCAAAGAAAACGGCGTGACTTAGCACAGCTAAGCTCGCACCCCCGTATACCTCACACGCATACCCTTCCGCACACTCGCACCCCTATGGCTCCGATCACTCACGTTTAGGATCCGAGTGATCCCTTGCGCTTTAAGCAGCTCCGATCGCGACGCGTTGTCGTAGCTCCCGCAGAACAGGAACCCCGGAATAATCTCCGACGAGAACGCGCTGTGCGCCTGCGCCACGGCGCCGCTGCTGCGCTCGTCCGCGGGGATTAATCGGTGCCCGCACACCCCGCACGGCTCCCCCTCCTCGTATTTATGGTAGTGCCCGCATATGTAACATGGGTTCTCGCGCTCCCGCTTCCGCATCGTCGTTTCGCCGAAGCTGGTAACCCGAAATGGTTACTCCGACCCTGTGCTGCGACGAGAGTCTGTTCGCGAAGGAGGTTGAACGAGTAGCGCATGTAAGGATCGGCGAATGCAGTCAACCTTGTTAATTCGCTGTTGTGGGACTATCCCAGGGAGTCAAGCTAACAAAATCTGCAGCCGAAGTAACTAAGCAGCAACAGCCGATAACTCTAGGCCTAGCTTACCGCGAATGCGCGGATCGCATGACGGGCTTTTTCAAAAAGTCTGAAGGGGTGATTAAGGTGATCGTATTGCCGTGCCCAAGCGACGACGCACGTGTCGCGGAACCCACCAGAAATGACGACGCCAACAGGTCGAAATGCCGACCCACAAAAAAGAATCCCGGTTCACTTAAAACCAGGGCCGAGCTGCTGAGCGCTGGAACCAAAGTGAGAAGGAACTTTATCTGAATCGCATTAGTACGCAACCCCCGATGTTCGACGTTTTGCCGTCCTCCTACCCTCCCCCAAGCGAACGACGTTACGGCGAGCCCTAACCCGCAGTTCTAATTATGGTAGACGGCTCTAGTCGCAAGTACCCTGCGCTTCGAAAAGCTAAGTTCCCTCCTTTCCACAACCAGGGCACCGCACCTGATATCCTCCTGCGACTAGCAGCAATTCCAAATTCGTCGCACAGTTTCGCAACAACGGCTATATGTGTGTTTATATTACACTTCGTGTGCCTTTTCGGCAAAAGTGAATTCTGAGGGAAATCATCCTATATAGAAACACTAATCATGTCGTGTGCATAAGTGTAAGGAAAAATCATTTTCCTTACTTCGCGTCCCTGCTCAGCACGTACACCACTGTTCCCGCCAACAGCACCCAACAGTAAACCGTTACCACTCGCGACACTCGCCTCGACTACTGTTCGCGCCACTGTTCACGACGCGACCCAACCTCACGGTTTGGTTGGTAACCCCCACTCCGGACCTCCGCCTCGACAATTCCCAACCTTGGTGCTAGGCCCGTCGCGCACCCCATTTTCATGCATTACCGTTACCACTTTAGCTTCGCTATATATTCTTCGCTCATGCCTTTGTCGGAATATAATTATATGCATTATATTATAACTGCATGTAGTGTAGACTTAATGTAGTTCTAAACTTGTTTGGTGGTGCACCTCTCTTTTCCTTGCATATATGTTTCCAACTTTCTATAGTGAAACCCCCTTCCTTTCTACTCTCGATAGTTGCCTAGCACCCAAACCCTAAGCACTACTAAGCTTATTTTAACATGGTATTAAGAGCCGGTCGTTCCTAGACCGATTCCCTCATGGGCCCACCGCGTGTTCCTCCTCTAACGGCGCATGTTCCGCACCCCTGTCACGGCCGTACAATCAACGGTCGCAACAGTCACGACCGTCGCAACGGTCATGGCGGCGAGTTGGTCGCGACCCCCCGTCGGAGCCCGTCTGTCCCACGCTGCCCCAGCTTGTCCCGTCCCCGTCCAGCGGCACGCAGTGCGCACAGCCGCACGCACGCAGCCGTGAGCGCGCAGCTGCACGCACGTCACCAGCCGCGCGCGCGACTGCTGCGAAATGCACAGCTGCAGCCGCACGCGCAGCAACAGCCGCACGCACGACTGCAGCGTCACGTGCAGCTGCAGACACACGCGCAGCTGCAGCCGCCTGCTGCGCCGTGTCAGATTTATATGACATAGCTACTGTAGGCTATAGTGGGGTAGCACATATGGGGTACAGTTTTCTAGGGTTTGCTTTTGTACCCAACTTTCCTTTAGTCATTCGATTCCTCGTTTCTTCTCATGGTATCGAGCAGGTTCCCTAGTGGGAACACTTCCTAGGGCCCACCACGAATCTTTTTTTTCCTGCCCGGAGCGCGTGTCGCGCCCTGTGTGCCCTCCCTACCGTCGCGCCCTCTCACGGCCCCTCACGGTCCCTTCGCGTCGCCCTTAGCGGCCCCTCTCACGGCCCCCTGCGCCGCCCTTACGGCCCCTCGTGCCACCCTTACGGCCCCTCGCGCCGCCCTTACGGCCCCTTACGGCCCCTCGCGCCGCCCGTCGGCCCCTCGCGCCGCCCTCCGCGGCCCCTCACGGCCCCCTACGGCCCGTCGCCGCCCTCCGCGGCCCCTCGCGCCGCCCTATCACGGCCCGTCGCCGCCCTCCGCGGCCCCTCGCGCCGCCCTTCCCAGCCCCTTCGCCGCCCTTCGCGGCCTCTCGTGGCCCTGTCGCCGCCCCCCCCTCCGGCCCGCCGTCGCCGCCCCTGCCGCAGCGACCGCCGCCGTCCCTGCAGCAGCAGCCGCAGCCGTCGCCAGCAGCAGCCGCCACCACCTCCCTCGGGGCCGCAGCTGCTGCCGCCGCTGCCTGCACCCGCCGGTGCGCCTCGGCCCTACCGGCGCCGCTCCACCCGGCCCCGCCGCCGCTCCACGCGCGACCCCGCCGTCACCACCGAGCCGCCGGCGCCGCCGAGTTGCTGCCGAGCTACCCGATCCACCCGAGCCGCCCGAGCCGCCGCGCCACCTGAGCCGCCCGTGCTGCCGAGCCGCCGTACCGCCGAGCCGCCCGAGCCGCCCGAGCCGCCCGAGCCGCCGAGTCGCCGAGCCGCTGTTGCTGCCGAGCCGCCGTACCGCCGAGCCGCCCGAGTCGCCCGAGCCGCCGAGTTGCCGAGCCGCTGAGCCGCCGAGCCACCCGAGCCGCCCTGTCTGGTAAGAGCAGCGCCTCTGTCACTGCACTGCCCTTACCCTACTGTTCGCGCTGCTAGTCTACTGCTGTCATGGCTACCCCTAGTGTCCTCGCTTTTGACGCTGAGGGTCGGGCCATTGACTTTGACGTCTGGGTAGATGACCTGCAGCTTTTCCTACAGTGCGATAGGGCAGACGGTCTCTCCCTCTTTGACCTCACCTCTGGTGCCTCTCCTGCCCCTGCTGCTGATGCCGACGCCACTGTTCGCTCACAGTGGGCCACTCGCGATGCTGCTGCACGTCTTGCTGTGCGTCGCCACCTGCCTACCTCTGAGCGTGCGCACTTTAGCCAGTACAAGAGTGCTCATACCTTGTACGACGCTGTAGTTGCGCGCTACTCCTCCCCTGCCACTGCTGCCCTGAGCCGCCTCATGCTACCGTACCTCTTCCCTGACCTTGCTGCCTTTCCCACAGTCGCTGACCTCATTACGCACCTCCGCACTAGTGACACTCGCTACCGCGCTGCGCTTCCTGCTGAGTTCTGCGCCAAGAACCCCCCCCCCATGTACATCACCCTCTACTACATAGTCACCCGGCTCGCGTAGTCAGGGACCACTTCCTCTCAGTTTGCCCCACCACTCTCACCGTTGACCTCCTCGAGAAGGCCCTCCTAGCAGCAGAAAAGAGCATAGTAGCTGTAGGAGCCTCTCGTGGTGACCCTCGCACCCCCATCTTTGAGGGGTGTTCCCCCTCCCCCCTTTTGCCCTCTGTTGCCTCTGCTGCTGCGGCCGACCTCGTTGGGCTTGAGTCGGCCGGTGCGGCGTCTACCCCTAGCGGGAGACGCCGCCCTGGCAAGGGCAAGGGGGGCAGGGGCACTGGAGGAGCTAGCGGGGGCGGTGGAGGCGGCGGTGGAGGCGGTGGAGGGGGTGGGGGTGGCGGTGGGGGTGGTGGCGGGGGTGGAGGTGTCGGTGGCGGCAGTGGAGGCGGAGGCGGCGGCGGCGGTGGCGGTGGGAGCGGAGGTGGCGGCGGTGGAGGAGGCGGCGGCGGAGGAGGTGGAGCTGGTCGGGGTGGCGCTGCGCAGAGGGTCGGCTCCGGTGGTGGTCAGCGCCAGCAGCAGCAGCAGCAGCAGCGCCCTCGTGACATCCCCCCCCCTCAGCAGCTCCGTGAGTGGTACGCTGCACGCCAGCGGGGTGGGGGTACTGGTCCGTGCACCTACGTCCTACGCACCGGAGACCGCGCGGGTGAGCAGTGCTGGGGTGCGCAATCCACCCAGCGCTGCTTTGGCCGCCTGACGGACGCTTGGCGTCACCAGTTCCCTGAGGCCACTGAGATCCCCCGCTGAGGTGAGCTGTCTAGGGCGGGTGTAGCTGTCTT